TCAATTTCTCAACTAATCAAATTCAATGAAAATAAGGTAGAAATGAAGTGTAGGGCTGCACAATACTTACTCAACAAGTCAGTGGCCGAAGCAAACTCTCGGTTACTAGATAATTGATGCCCTAGCAGAGCCAAGCCTTCCTCACCCTTCAAATATGTTTTCCCCACTTTCTTCTATTTTCACGATCTAAAAATTAGCTTTTAAGTAAAGATCTGTGCAATGCGGCACAGCGCATGTAGCACTCGCCATGATAAGTGGCACAATAAACTTAATCTCACTTATGCTTATGTGTTTCACCCTGAATCATGATGCTACTAATCAACCTTATCCTCATAACATTCAAACAACATCATACATTAGTTTAACACCCAAAATCATAATCAATCCACTATTTCTAATTTTTCCTGATTAGCAACTAGTTTTTTTGATTGAAATTCAGGATGTTACACTACACGTAACTCTTAAAGCCACCTAGCCATTAGCACTAGTTTCACAACTAAACACCATACCTTTTGAAAATTGGACATTCGAACACAAAATTGACCATTTCCCTTTCAAAACGCACATAAGGGTATCCAATTTCCCAAACCTAGTGCCAATAACCTTAGAATCAATTGAACCAACTTAAATGAGCCATAAATAACTTGATTGAATATTCATACAACAATAGCAATCCAAACAAATATTGGCCACTAAAAACCCCCCATTTTCATAGTAAATCAAAGAGGTAGCATTATCCACATATCACAATCCTCATGGCCATCTACACATATTCCAAATATCAAGATAACCTCACTTGCATTAGTATCTAGGCCTCCAACAACAATTTCATCACAAATACAACCTCCTAGGCTAAGATGCCTACAATTACACAATATCATGAAAGTGTAACAAAATGACATACTTTTCTAAGTTGGCATATTAATACAATAATTTGTTACAATACCAAAAGTGTGGGGAAGAGCTATACAAATCTCAACTCATCATATTCCTAGCTAAGTCTTCCTTTCTTTTTCCCTTATTGGAGCCTTCACCTATAAAATGTAACCGCGAGGTGAGTTGAGGACTAAGTAACCAAATAATCTTATCAAACTACTTGTATCTAAGAACAATTAATGAGTATGTGAAGTAACAATGAAACATGTGATTTAGATATCAAGTTTACAAATACACATGGATATATAATAATGATGCATAATCAACATACCACCTTATATCCTTCTTATTTCCTCTGACTAAATCTATGAGCTGACAATTTAATAGAACTAAGTCCATGTGATTGGACTGGCTCAAGCTCACCAATCATGGGAGGCATCCCCAGTCAAAGGCACCTTCACCCAGCATAGACCACATATTTTTCTTTTCCTCAAATACTTAAGGTGTTATATGCCTAATCTATCTCAAATAGTACTAAAACTTTCAAATAAGAATAGGGTAGTGCATTGAAGCCTCCATGGTGCCAATATACTATTAGAATTTATACAATGTTCCCAAATAGCTTTAAGGTGAACTTGCACCCTCTCATAATAATCATGCTCAAATATTTTCACACATAGCCATACACATGTAATTTATTCTTGAATAATCATTTCCATAATGAATCATACATATTCACAAGTATATACACATATACATTAAGATTTAGCATAAATCTTTTAAAACCATATATGCAAACATGTAAGTACATTCTACTTCACATAAGGTTTCTAAATTTCATTTTATACTAATAGTATACTAATTCAAATAATAATGCATTAATTTTCACAATTCTACACAACCATCCAGACACACAAATAATAAGTGTAGATAATTCATTTACTTCAACCCTTTTGTCACTAAAATGGTTATGGTGGAAATATTAGCTCCACAAATGTCCATTAGCATAATAATATCGATCAATATTTAGTCTACAAGATTAAACACTAATAATCAATTCTCATTCTAAAAACCCTCTTTTTAATCAAATTTTGGGTACGAGCTCTATCCAAATTCCTACTTTAACACCATTAACAATTCCAACACACTCTGTTATTTCCATTTAGCACCTAAATACTTAGATAAACATAAATTTCCTCCCACATTACTCCCAAACTCTCAAATTTCACTTAGGATTCATCCAAACCCTAACCAAAAATTTCAAATCATTATAAAATCTATAAACATAGTTTTAGTAACTTGATTTAACTCCCCAAGACCTTAACTAAGTCAATAGGTTCAGTCAAAACCCAAGGCAAATGAAATCAAGCCTCAATCATACCTAAAACAACATAAAATTCACATAGAATAGAGGGAGGATATTTAGGAAGCTTACGAATAAGGATTGCAAGCTCAAAATGCTCTAAAATGCTCCCCCAACGAAGCCATAACAGAACCAAGACATAGGTTGAGAAATAAACTATTAAACCTTGTTACATTCCTATACAATTTGCAAGGAAATTGAGAAATGACATAAGTTGAGTATGAATACTGATTGATTATTTGCCAAGTCAAGTCTTGTATGATGAAATAAAGACTTTATAGTTATTTATGAAAATGTCATGTTTTGCATCTACTCACCACGGCCAATCATGCTTTTGGCCATGGCAAGCAATGCAGGATTTATATTTACAATAGTGCCCTTGTAATTCCATGGCCAAGTTTTTTGAGTGCAGAAGGCAAAATAGTTGACCTTCCTCTTACTCTTTTGGTTCAGTCATCACCTTCATCCCTTTTAGCACTCAATTCTAGAGTTTCATTAGAAAGCTTTTGATGTTATACCCTTTAACGAGTCTATTCAACCTATTTATCAACTCTCCCACCTTTATCTTGGGGATAGTAGTTTTGTGAAGATCAATTTAGGTTTTGATAAAGGAGGAGAAGGGCTATAGTAGTAAGGAAAGGGTGACTCAACATTGTATAAGTATAACAGAAATTTTAAGGGAATAAGCAAGAAACAAGGGAATAAAGAGAGCTATACTGGTATAAACAATATTATACTAGTATAAAGGAAAAAATATCAATTAAGGAACAAAGAAGCTTTAGTGATCAAAATCAATATGCATGAAAGGTTATATCCAATTGAAAAACTTGTCAAATAACAAATTAAGGTAAAAAATAATTATGAGAAAAATGAAATACTTAGATAAGAGAGAATCTCATAGAATCAAAACTTAAAAATTTAGGATATTCATACTTATCCCGATAAAAGTGAATAAGTAAGGGTAAAAGGATAGAGAAGATGATAGAATTCATAGTTTAAAGCATGTGAGTCCAATTATTCTTAACTGCCATCAAACACAATTAAATTTTTTTGTTCAACAAAAATTTCTTTATTTTATAATCATTAAAATCAGGGTTCAATAATACTATATGTTATTCTCTTAATTTTTTAAAAAATTGAAAAAATTTTTTCCTTGACTAAATCATTACAATTCTTTTTAATAATTTACATAGCTTCCATTAATATTATGTTATTCATGTCAGCAAAATTCAACAATGTTACTTTCTTTTTAATCAATAAGAACCAAATCGACTAAGAGCCTATTTGGATTTCAGTTTGGTATAATTGATTATAAAAATAATTGATTAAATATTTAATTTTAATCAGAATTGATTATGTTATAATACAATTTATTTGAATATTTTTTTTCTAAAATTATTTTTAACAGGATTGAAGATGTTTGGATAATTTAGTTAGAATCAATTTTAGCTATGTAAATTACCATAAATAATATTTTTTTTTAAAATTAAATTATTGATAAATTTATATCAAATATAATTAAATTTGTTAAATTTTATTTAAGAAGTAAAATATATTATTTAAATCACATATCTAATTAATTATAAACTTTAAATTATATTAATATTACCATTTTAATTTATGTAAATAAATAACTCAATATGTCTTAGTTCAAATAAATTTAGTAAAAAAGATTTAATTCTTAGATACCAAAATTAATTTTTCAATAACTAATAAAAATGACAATATATAAGTTGATTTCTAATGATATCACAGATATGAGCCATATCTAACCAAGATGTTAAGCACTGTCTTGAAATTTGGTAACATAAAAAATATACGATGTAACAAATTAATGTAAAATATCTTTCTTTTTCTCTGAACATTTGCAAAATTTGCAATGACCATATTAAATTTAGTTTAATTAAATTTTCTCTACCAATTAATATTTTATTTAAATTAGTTTTATAATAAGTGTTAAGTAAAAGGTGGTGGTTGATAGGAACTTATGTTGACAACTTTTTTAAGAATTCAAAGTTTAAATTTTACTAAAATAAAAAAAATAGATAACATAAGGGAGTTTATTTTTTTTTTATATAATTTTTGCTTGGGCTTTTTTTTTGTAATTCTTCCATGTGCTTTTTGAACCGATCTTTTTTGTTTTCTCTTCCCTGGTTGAAACGCCAGAAGCGCGCAGATTCAACTTAAGGGAAAAATCGATTTTCGCTTTTATAATCGATTATCTATTTAAATTGGTGTTTGGGTATTTTTTTAAAAAAAATTGATTTTTTTAATTAAAAAATAATTATAAAGTTAATCCAAACATACATTAATAAAGGTAAAGTTAAAGGATTAAATTAATAAAAAATTAAATTTAAAAAATCAAATCATAATTAAGATACATTTGAGAGATTAAAAATTACATCATCCCCATTTATAAAATTAAAATATCAAATTAAAATTTTATATAAAATTATTGGATTTAAATCTTCAAAAATTAGGATTTTGGATTTCAGTAAAGTTTATTTTTAAAGAAAGAGATAAAATATTTTATACTTTATGAAAACAATAAAATGATGAAAAATATTAAAAAGTGTAAATTTCAGTTGACTCCACGCTTTTGGATTAAATCTAAAATTAATTGTTGGTAAAAAAAATTAATTAACTAAAAATTCCTTTTTTTATTATTTTTTTTTTTACAAAATCCCTTTTTATTTAAATGTAAAACAAGAATGATTTAAAAACCCAAAAAATAGCCGCGGGCCGTCCCATCCTCGCCCGTTCATGATCGAATCGATATATTGATCCTTCTAAGCCACACAGAGTGAAGAATCATGTGAAACACATCGTAAGCTTTTGACGGCCGATTCACCTCAAAATGTCTCTGCACCTGAAGCACCCTCCTGTGCATTCTCAAATACTCACCTTCCTCAACACTCTGCAACACCACCTTCAATTCCGATATCTTCTCCGACGGAATATGCAACGAAAACTTGCTCCAATCAAGAATATCGGAAAACGGCGGTTCGTAGTCGTCGGCGATAATCACGGGGATGCAACCTGCATAGATGGCTTCCACGGTCCTCGGACTCGCGACTTCGAATCCGCTGGGGCACAAGCAGAACTTGCTTCGCTCCATTAATTCCAAGTACTTGATGTTTGGGGGGAGGTATTCGTACACCTGGAGTTGTTTGTCTTTGCCTTTCCAGGTCTCGATTAGGGTTTTTCTGATGCTCCCGTGGATCCCACCGGCGAAGAATGCGAGGATGGATCGATTCTGTGGGTGTTGGCCGTTGCGAGGATTGCTGGATTCACTGTATCGCAAGTTGATTTCAGGTATGGATACATCTCTTGAGGGATTGAAACCCTCTGATTTGTTGGCGTTGCATAATGCTCTTATTATGTTCCTGTACAATTGCTTATCTGGGTTCTTCGTTGAGATTTCTGGTGCCTGAAGCCAGTTGAATATGGAGCTATACCATTAGAGAGAGAGTTCTACAGTAAAACCTTTTTTTTTGCCACAGTAAAACTTAAAATTTTAAATATGCATGGATTTAAATATTCTAGACCATAAAGTAAGTTTGTTCTTAGGCTATGTTTTAGAATTTCTTAAGGGATGACATAAAATATCAAATAATGGAATGGAAAGAAGGAGGGATCTGTCTTAGATAGCAAGGAATGATGTTTATGAAGGGAGGGACAAAAACTGAGGTTTCAATGGCAAGGAGGGCTCTTACAACATACAAATCATTCATTACCTCTTTCATTTCGTCATTAAAAAAATTCCAAACAGTGGTCAAAGTCAAACCTACTTATTTTAGGTAAATGGCCAACCCTACTTTAACTATTACTCTTTATTGCATTTCATATTTGGCCATTCATCTAACAAATATCTTGAATCTTGCAGATTATCGAACCTAAAATCATGTTTTACAAAATATATGCGTATTGGTTAGCTTGGCTTGACTCTTTAAAATTAGGTTTATCAATTGACTTCATGAGCTTCATACGAACCATTGGCTTTATTCCTTGCTTTCTTGCAGTATATGTGACGGTTAAGAGTCCATAGATTTTTCCCCCCTTGCTTTACCTTGAAGTTTGAATCTTCCATGTTCTAAAAATTTGGATATGAAGGGACATGGGTCCATTTACCTATAATAAGCACATGCACATGCTCGTCCATTGACTTGCCACATGTTGCTATAATTTAGTGCGTTAATTTTCCCGCTCACTTCTTAGGGAAGAAGTTTTGCCTGACATGCTTTTGATGTGCCTTATATCTTTAAAGGGGAGCTTAGAGAATACCCATGGCCTTTATTGCTCTTTATTTGACTTCAAAGAAGAAACTTCTATATGGAAGATTTCTTAGTGTATGACTAGTGTAAACTAGTAGTGGTGGTTGTAGGTGTGGTTTTACACACTAAGCAGGCAAGTTGTAGCATCATCTGGCTTAGAGTTCTATAGTTTTGTGTTCAAACTTCTGTTTTGAGCTGCTTGAGTTGCTTCTTCGTTTTGCCCGTGGGAGTTAGTTGTTTTATGGAAGGCACCATCATCTATAAGGGACAAATGAAACAGAGGATACTTTTTGTCATGTCTTTTGGAATGTTTCTCGAGGAAGTTAACTCCCCTAAAAAAAAAAAAATACAAAACTTTTTAACTTTTGTTAGATTTGCGAACTTGGCAGTACCGGTTAAAGCTTTTTAAAAAGTTTTTTCTCTGTGAAGTGAAATTGTGCTATTCTTTTATTTGTTTGAAGTTGCATTCTGTAGAAACCAGAGGCTTTGTGATCCTCTGTTTTTCAATTTTAGTCCTTGAACAGCCCGGCGTAATGGTAGAAAAATCCTAATTCTCCTAGGATACAATCTTCATTATCTAGCAATCTTAGATTTAAATTCTAATATACAGAAAGATATTAAAAGAAGTATGATATCTAATATTTAACTAGGAGACCATTATTAATAAAATAAAGGGTTATTGGACAATTTAGGCCCTAAACTATAAGTCCAAGAGTATTTAGAATTCTAAACTTATTTTTTGAGCAATGTACCCCCCTAAACTTTTGAAAAAGGAACAATATAGGGCTTGTTTGAAATTGTTTTTGTTTTGTTGTTTTGAAAACTGGTGTTTTGTAGAACATGTTTTGACAATAAAGAAATAATGAAAATAGGTGTTTTTTTATTTTTCCTTATTCTCCAAAACAGTAATCCCATAACATCTAAAAGATGTTTCCATTTTTCTATTCTTCAAAACAATATTTTTTTAAACACTTTTTAAAAACATGATATCAAACAAATCTTTTTTTTTCTCTTTATTCTAGAGAATAGAAAACTATTTTTAGAACAGGTTGACAGACAGGCCCATAGGTTCTACTAATAACAAAAGCTAACTTTAACTATTAGTTGACCAAAAATTGATAGAAAAAGACAAAAATCACTGAAAATGACCATGAAAATTACAGGAAAAAAAAAAAGCAAAAGTTTCAAACAAGGACCTAAAAAATTACATGAAAGGACTAGGAAAATTTTGTTGGTCCTTTTTTGTAATTTTTAGGTATTTTTTTATTATTTTTTGTCAACTAGTGGTTAAAGTTAATTTGTGTTAATAGTAGAGGTTATATTACACCGTTTTTAAAAATTGAGGGAAAATATTGCACAAAAAAAAAAATTTAGGGTCTCACTTCCTGAACGTATAGTTTATGGGTCAAATTGATTTATTTACTCTAAAATAAAATAACAGAGTGAATTACCCCAAACAGAAAATGAGTTTACGATGCAAGTCTGTAGAGGGATCAAGTTATTTACCCAGTCATGACAAGAGAGCAGCAAATGGTCAGCTCCATTGGTTCTATTCCAGAATGGGTGTTTATGTGTTATAAGGTCAGTATAATTTGTGACTGTTGTGATGAGTTGATCTCGAGCGTAGGTGACCAGAGGGTTGTATAGGTGGCTCACAATGTTGCCGACACTGATGGGCAAGAAGAAGACATGAGCTTCGTCTGGATGAGCAGCAGAGAATGAGGTATTGCCTCTCTGAATTTCTTGTATGAAGTATCCTTCTATGCCGTAAATTGATTTTATGGGACCTTCATGCACAAAAGGGGGTTCACCTTCCCTGTAAGTCCACACCTTGAATCTCTTCACCATCTCTGTGTGACTCCTGAATAAGCCAATGATATTATGCAAGACAATGTTACTCTTGGATTTGGTCTAATTATAAGTAACCTTCAATATACTTCATTGAAATTAAGAAAAACTTTAAAATTTATTAACTTTGGATAAAAATTTAATAAATTTTTAACTTTATCCCTATTAAATAAATGTATTTTCTTTTATCAATGCTATTCTGGATTTTATTATAGGGCACTTTCTGGAATATTTCTTTGGTCTTTAATATAAGGCATTTGGTGGGGTATTAATTGCAATTTTTCAATATTATCTCTATTTAAATTGATTAATTATGTGAGAAGATGTGAAGCAAATTTGAAAAAATTTTATTTAAGTATGGGTAAAATTGAAAGGTTATTCTTTTTTTAAAGAAAGTTAATTATTTAACCATTTTTCATTGGTTCCATTAAGGTTGTTGGAAGTGTTTTATGATGGAGACCAAAGGACATATTTAATGGAAAGCAAAAGAAAAATTTGTGATAAATTATTAATATGAATTATAAATAGAACTAAAAAAGCTTCCCTCTCTGCTTTATAAATAAGACTGAAGGTAGTATTTTGCTTACAGGTTCAGAGATTTTCGAACGATGGAAACCATCAAAATGTAGCTGCTCTTGGGTGGAAATAGGCTAGGAGCTAAGCAGGTGGCTTATGGCCTGTTTAATAAACTGGCTTGTTTATATTTTATTTGTATTTTTTTTAATTATCTATAAAATCATCTTTTAGGCTTTCACTACTTATTTTCATTTGTTGAATTGTTGGGTTGGTCTCTAGCTTGGCTAGATTTGAATTATGTACTTGTGTCATGAACAAATTAACTTGTTTGTATTATTGTCGACTTGTAATTGCATTTTGGTGTTCTGTATAATTATGTGATGTATGAAATTGTGTTATCTTTAAATAAGATTTAATAAGTTATCAAATAATTAAGTTACAAATTTCGATTTGAATGGTTACAAATATAGAAATCTTATTATCATTGGAACTTAATTGCATAATTTGCAGCTAAGATTTCCACATTTGCAATTATCTATATCAATATTTGCAATTAATTTTGTTTAAAATTTTGGGACTTAAGTGTTGCTATATTGATTTTTTGATACCTTAGTAGCTAAATTGATTTTTTTATACCTAAGTATCATTCCCCCTTTTTCTGTCCATGCAATTACCTAGATTGTGTCGTACATTTCCTAATTCCTATAAATGTACTGTTTGTACCTTTGATATAAATTAATCTTTTTTAAGTTTTTTTTTTTATTTTGAAAGAAGTATGATATTAAAAAAAAAAATCAATCTTATAACGATGAACGTACAAAGACAATCATAATTTAAATTAAGAAATACAAAATAGATTTAGACTGTGGATCAATCGATTAAATTTGAACGTCTCATATAATTATAACACGTGACTCTAATTTAAATCGTGCTTTGCCCCTGATGTTTTTGGTACGTAGAATTTTATTCTCAAAATACTTTGAGGTATCAAACAAACACTGTTAAAGAGAGATGTAAATTGTTGGAGAGAGATTCTATTCCTTATAAGTTGAGGAAAGTTATTTGAAAAATTGGCCCAATTAAGATTTGGATTTGGCAATGGTATTATGGTAGGCACTGGTGCTTGTACTATTAAAATTATTAAAATTCATATTAATAATTTAAATAAACTCATTCATTTATTAATTTTAAATAGAATATGAATTTAGAACTATTAATTTAAATTTTAACAGATTAAATGATATAGGTATTTAATACCTATATTAAATACGGTCACTAAATTCAAATTCAATTAAAGGGATTTGAATTTGGTAACGTTAGGCACTAAGTGCTTATATTATCTAAATCATTAAATTTCATATTAATAATTTAGATAAATTTACTCAATCATTAATCTCAAGTGCAATATGTATTTAGAACCATTAATTTATATTTTAATGAATTACATAATATAGGCTCTCAATGCTTGTACTACTAACCATCAGTGAATTTGAATCCTAATCAAGGTAAGATAGTTTTATTTAAAATAGAGAAAATAAATTATATATTCTTGTTTAAAATAGAGACAATGAATTATAGACATTAAGTTGGCGTATGCTTTTGAAAGAGACTTATTTCTAACATCCGTGTTTATAGTTCTACAAATTTAATGTGACCCACCTGTAATTAATAAATCAAACAAAAAAGTAATGATGTAACAAACTAAACTCTCCGCCCAATTTTTTCTTAGGCTTTCTATTCTGGTATATTTCTTTTTTTTTTAATATATCATTTTCTATAATTCAAGTGAAGATAAAAATAGTCAATTTAATCAAAATTGTTCGTCAAGGGAGCATTATTTTTCTTTTCGGTTAAGTCGTTCATCTTGAGTTTTAGTCTTTAAGGGAAAAGATTGAGACGAAATTGATCATTAAAAATAAAAAATGATTTATTTTTTAAGGGACTAAATTGTTACAAGAGGAATATTTTAATTAGGAATGGGAATAATAAGTTCTCTATTGCTGCAAAAAGCAATTTGTAATAGATTTGACCAGGTTTAATTTCAACCATCTTATTTTTATATAGTTTTATTAAATTTCCGATAATTTTATTTTAAAAGACATACGGAACAAAGTAAACTTCAGATTAATGAAAATTAATGTGCAAGGCGATAACACTGCTGTTGTTTGCTGCAAAATGGAGAATTCTAATTCTAATATAGAAAGTAAAACTACACAAACATAATTTGAATTTGGCATATATATTTTGAAAAAAAAAAATCATCAATTAGTTTTTAATTCAAGACTCTTTACAAAATTTAATGAAATATTTATGACTCATTTCAAAAAATGTTCTTTCTCTCTCATTCTTGGCTTAAATAATGAGTTTGATCATTTCATTCATGGTAATTTCGTAAATTTATTTTTTTTACATTTAACTAAGTTTAACTAGTTTTCTTAATTTTAAAAAGTATTTATCATGGCCTTATAAAATATACTATATTTTGATGCGATTTGTTCTTATTGTCTTCGAAGCTTGGTCATACAAAGATAAGACTTTTTAATTTATTTCTTAAAATATCATTTTTTAATTTAATTTCTTAAAGGCATAACCACTTGATTTAATTCTAGAAATTTTCTCTTCTAACCACAATTGTTCTTGCAGGAATCGTTATGTAATTCTCTACTGAATTAAAATCTAGCTTATTTTTATGTTGAGTAGGTATTATATTTTTGAAACAAAAGAGAAGCTTCATCTTTTTAAAAATATAAGAAATTAAAATGATTTATTTTTAAAGAACTAAATTAATACAAGCGTAATATTAAAAAAATGATTGAAAATTATAAAAAAATGATTGAAAATATGAAATACATAAAAATTGATTCCTCAACATTTGATCTATATAATTCAAATCAGATGCAAAATAATGGCATCATTGTGCTGCTATTTGTTGCAGTATGTAGTCCTGATCCTCTAGAAATCAAAATAATTAACTTACTCAAAATCAAATCCACTAAAGAAATTTTGGTGCTTTTATTTATGTAATGCATTAGTCTTTGTAATAATTTTTCCAATTCTTTGCCCAAAATAATTAAAAAATAAAGACAGCATAAATTTAAAAGGGACAACTAAAAAGGAAAAAAAAAAAAACAGATGAACTGATCAAAAAGCGTATTGTACACATTCTAAGTCTACAATTAAATCTACTTAACAAAGATTAGAAACCATAAAGGGTTAAGTAAAAATGACTAAAATTGTAGTCATCAAAATAAAAACAAAAAAAAAAAAAAATACAAGATTTGATTTTCCTCAAGTAAAGTCAATGGTTCAAATATTATGAATGGGAACAAAAACTCATATTAACATGACAACAATTAAAGCTAACTAACTAATGCTAGATATTCATGAATTTAGATTTAGTGAGTGGCACAAATCCACCTATTCAATGAGTATTCTGCATGATATGATAACAACCGTGAGTTTAATCAAACAGTTTTTAGAAATTTTGGCATACACTACTCATGAAGTATTAAATCTTAAATTTTTGAAGAGAATAATGTATGCGAGAGATGTTCTGATCACAAAAATTGTCTTGAATTGTTGATATATGTATATATATATATATATTGATAATTTTCAACGGTTAATGAAATTCAATGAATATAATTATAACACTCATTGGGTGAGTAGATTATCACTTACCAGATTCAAATCCAATGTTCATCTGTTATATCACATACATTGCGCACACAGAAAACAAGAGAGAACGTAGAGAGAGAGAGAGAGAGGGAGGGAGGGAGGGAGGGGGAGAGGAGCTTAACTGATAAAAAGCATAAGCATTATGGTAAATGCTTCCTCTATGGATGAAGCTATCATCTTTGTCTGAAGAAAATATCCTTCTTTTAATCGCTTTGCTTATAGTTTTCCTTGCTTCATCCAACTCCTCAACCATCGTCTTCCATTTTTTCTCCTATAAACATATAACAGAATCAATTAATTAACTTCAAACACAAAAGAAACAATAAGAAGCAACAACAAAGACATCAAATGACAACATCGAAGTAAAAGGACTCACTTTAATATAATAATGAGGATTGGGATCTTGAAGGGTTGGTTTGTGATTTTGAGTTTGGAGTCTTAGGGGCAGAAGAATATTGCTAACATGATCTCTTTGGTAATTGAAAGTGTAGATGCTAACGAAGAGAAGGCTCAACAAGAAACTTATCAAAAGATTTAAGCATAATCTGAAGATTGCTGCCATGGCTACTTCCGATGCTTTCTTATTAGTTCTAGATCTCTTCAAGCTATAGCCAATGTTATTTATAATAAATATTAATGAGAAATATAATGTGGATATTACATGGACTTTGACTGAGCTTTCTAAAAATGGACAAGTTTCATTTTTTATCTTTGAAACTTATTACCCACGCACATGTCTTAGGAAAATAATAATAATAAGTGGATTATAGTACCTCTCATACATGAGTTTTGTTAAATTATGCAAA